ACACAAAGATACAACTAAGAAAGAGAACTTCAGACCAATATCCCTCATGAACATTGATGCAAAAATACTCAATAAAATACTGGCAAATTGGATCCAAGAACACATCAAAACAATCATTCACCACGATCAAGTAGGTTTCATCCCAGGGATGCAGGGATGGTTCAACATACGAAAATCCATCAACGTAATCCACCATATAAACAAGCTGAAAAACAAAAATCACATGATCATCTCACTAGATGCTGAAAAAGCCTTTGACAAAATCCAACACCCCTTCATGATAAAGGTCTTGGAGAGATCTGGGATAACAGGGACATACTTAAACATAATAAAAGCCATATACAGTAAACCAACAGCCAACATCAAACTAAATGGACAGAAACTCAGCGCAATTCCTCTAAAATCAGGAACAAAACAAGGCTGTCCACTCTCTCCATACCTTTTCAACATGGTACTTGAAGTTCTAGCTATTGCCATACGACAACAAAGGGGGATCAAGGGGATACAAATTGGGAAGGAAGAGGTCAAACTTTCATTGTTTGCAGACGATATGATAGTTTACATCAATGACCCAAAGAACTCTACCAGGGAACTCTTACAGCTGATTAACACCTTCAGCAAAGTGGCAGGCTACAAGATCAACTCAAGAAAGTCAGTAGCCCTATTATATACAGATGATAAAAGGGCTGAAAGAGAAATCAGAGAAACATCACCCTTTACAGTTGCCACAAACAACATAAAATACCTTGGGGTAACGCTAACCAAACAAGTGAAAGACCTGTATCGTAAGAACTTTGAATCTCTAAAGAAAGAAATTAAAGAAGCCCTCAGAAAATGGAAAGATCTCCCATGCTCTTGGATAGGTAGGATCAATGTAGTAAAAATGGCAATCCTGCCAAAAGCAATCTACAGATTCAATGCTATCCCCATTAAAATCCCAGCACAATTCTTCACAGACCTTGAAAGAACAATAATCAATTTTGTATGGAAAAACAAAAGACCCAGGATAGCCAAAACAACCCTGTACAACAAGGCAACGTCCGGAGGCATCACCATCCCTGACCTCAAGCTCTATTATAGAGCTATAGTCCTGAAAACAGCTTGGTATTGGCACAAAAATAGACAGGTAGACCAATGGAATCGAATTGAAAATCCGGGTATTAACCCACACACGTACGAACATCTGATCTTTGACAAAGAAGCTAAAAATATACAATGGAATAAAGAAAGCATCTTCAACAAATGGTGCTGGCATAATTGGAGACTAGCATGTAGAAGAATGCGGATCGATCCATGTTTATCGCCATGCACAAAACTTAAGTCCAAATGGATCAAAGACCTCAACATAAATCCAGCCACACTGAACCTCTTAGAAGAGAAAGTGGGTGGTACCCTTGAACGAATTGGTACAGGAGACAGCTTCCTGAACATAACACCAGTAGCACAGACAGTGAGATCAACAATTAATAAATGGGACCTACTGAAACTGAGAAGCTTCTGTAAGGCAAAGGACACAGTCAGCAAGACAAAAAGGCAGCCCACAGAATGGGAAAAAATATTCACTAATCCCACATCTGACAGAGGGTTGATCTCCAAAATTTACAAAGAACTCAAGAAGCAAGTCTCCAAAACAGCAAAGGACCCAATTAAAAAGTGGGCTGCAGAACTAAATAGTTTTCAATAGAGGAGTCTAAAATGGCTGAGAGGCACTTGAGAAAGTGCTCAACATCCTTAGCCATCCGAGAAATGCAAATCAAAACAACTCTGAGATGCCATCTCACTCCTGTCAGAATGGCTAAAATCAAAAACACCAATGACAATTTATGCTGGAGAGGATGTGGTGAAAGGGGGACACTCCTCCATTGCTGGTGGGAGTGCCAACTGGTTCAGCCACTTTGGAAAGCAGTATGGAGATTCCTCAGAAAAATGGGAATAAACCTACCACAAGACCCAGCAACTCCACTCTTAGGCATATACCCAAAAGATGCCCATTCATACAACAAAGATGTCTGTTCCACTATGCTCATAGCAGCTTTATTTGTAATAGCCAGAACTTGGAAGCAACCTAGATGTCCCTCACCCGAAGAGTGGATAGAGAAAATGTGGTACATCTACACAATGGAGTACTATTCAGCAGAAAAAAATAATGGAATCATGAGATTCGCAGGCAAATGGATGACACTAGAAGAAACCATCCTGAGTGAGGTAACCCAGTCACAAAAAGAGAAACATGGCATGTACTCTCTCATATATGGATTTTAGACATAGATCTGGGGAGTGCCAGCCTACAATCCTATGGCCAGACAGCCTGGGAAACAGAAACTACATTTAGTGGCTGGTTAACTACTGAGCTGAACTCAAGAAAGCCAGTATCAGACAGAGAGGGAGGACTGATGATCAAAGGGATTAAGACTGGGCTGGTTTAACCCCCAGAAACAGCTGACCAGACAAAGGTTAACTCTTGAATCCCAGGCATCAGCCTGGGAATCCAGCATGGGACTGATCAAGACCCCCTGAATCTGGGTGTCAGTGAGGAGGCCTAGGTAATCTATTGAGCCTTGGGCAGCAGATCAGTACCCATCCCAAGTATACACACGGACTTTGGACTCCCATAGAACAATGTGAGGTGCACTCTCACCCTGAACTCTTGGGGAAGGGCCTAGGCCCTGCCCTATATGAAATGACAGACTATGGACACCCCCATGGAGGGCCTCACCCTCCCTGGGGGAACGAGGGGATAACGGGGGGGGGGATGGGGGAGGGCACGGGAGGAGGGGAGGGAAAGGGAGAGGGACCTGGAACTGACTTCTGAAGCAACCTTGTTTCTTATCTAAATTTAAAAAAATAGATAAATAAATAAATAAATAAATAAAAGAGCTAGTGGGACAAGCCTAAAAAAAAAAAAAAAAAAGAAACTGGCTTATTTTTAATGGAAACTAACTGGTGGCATGTCAGAAGAGCAAAGAGAAGACATGAGATACTCCTATCTTCTGGGACCTACAATTCCTGCTTCAGGAACTTTACCCCAAGGAAAATGTTCAAAAGACTATAGATCTTACTTGTATTGGGCTATTTACTGTTGAATTATTTTAATGCCTAATGTCTTCAAATGTCTTTTAGAAAAATGAGCAAAGTTAAAGGCATAAAATCTGCAGGTGATTCAGCTATCCACAATCAGACAATTAAGTAGTATTTAAAATTATGCCAGGCATGTGTAAGACCTGCACAGGTCAAAGCCAGACAGGCCCATGGCATTGAAAGCAGAAGAGGGCATGGGTTCCACATAACCAAGAAGCTATGGGCAACTGAGACCCAAAGGGAAAAAAATCAGTGTCCTGTAAGTGTCACTGAGATGTCAACCACACCCCAGGGCTGGCCCCATGCTCAGGAGTAACTGTGTGTTTAGGCATTGTTTTGTCTTATTTGTCTTATGATTATTTTGGTTTTCATTTTTAGGGAGTTTTGGGCTTTTTAGATTTTGGGGGGCATAAGAGAGAGAAAGAACAAAAAGTTGGGTGGTTAGAGAGATAGGGAGGATCTACGAGGAGTTGGGGAAGGAGGGAAATATGATCAAAATATATTGGATGAAAATGTTTCTAAATTAAAAAAGATAATTGAAAAATAATAGGCCAGGTATGGTGGCACACACCTTTAATCCCAGTGCTTGAGAGGCAGAGGCAAGCAGATCTCTGTTGAGTTTCCAGACAGCCCGTTCTACAAAGCAAGTTCCAGGACAGTCAAGGCTACACAGTGAAACCCTGACATGCCCTGACTTGGGGAAGGATGGATGGATGGATGGATGGATGGATGGATGGATGGATGGATGGATGGATGGATGGTTGGGTGGATGGGTGGATGGGTGGATGGGTGGATGGGTGGATGGGTGGATGGGTGGGTGGATAACTGGATAGATGGATGGACAAATTGATGGATGATGGAGATAGATAGATAGATAGTAGATAGACAGACAGACAATAGGTAGCTAGGTAGGTAATAAAAATAAGAACTATGCCTGGAGCACAGCTTGGCAAGATAGCACATGCCTAAGTTTGTGTAAATCGCTGGGTTTAGTCTCTAGGACTGGAAGCACACAAAGAAAAACTATAACAAGAAATACAAGGCACTGCCTATAACAATGCAAATATATGATTATGAAAAAAGAACAGAAGGAACAAATGAAAATATAACTCAAAAGCTGAAAGTTTTAATAAGGATTTTTTATGCTTATTTATTCTGTGTGTATGTGGTGGGGTGAACATTGCAGTGCATGAATAGATGAATAGAGGTCGTGTGTGTGTGTGTGTGTGTGTGTGTGTGTGTGTGTGTGTGTGTGTATGTGGTGAGGCGGACACTGCAGTGCATGTGTGGAGGTCAGAGGACAATTAGCAAGAGTGGGTTCTTACCTTCTACCATGTGGGTTCCATGGCCAGAACTCAGGTCATCAGGTTAGGTGGCAAGTGCCTTTACCCACTAAGCCATCTCGCTGGCCCCCAAACACTAATATTTTGAGTGGCATTAGCAAAGGAGCTCATCTTTAGTCTGAATTGGCTACTGGGAACATACCAAGCAATACCACCACATTTAGTATCCGATTCTCCTAATTGCCATGGGGCACTCTTTGGTTGTCAATATAAACCTATTATTCGCAGGTCCAAGCCTCTAGTTACAGCTTTAAAAGGCTGGCTTGTACTTTTATGTTCAGGATTGCTGCTGATGTGCATGCAACAAAGTAGCTACAAGAACACTGAGAATGGGGCCAGCGAGATGGCTCAGCAAGTGGACACGATTTTGGCCAAGTCTGACGACCTAGGTACAAAACCTGGAACCTACACAGTAGAAAAAGAAGACAGATTCTTGTGTTCTCTTTCGACTTCCACACATGCACTGTGGCAAGTATGCACTCATGCATGCACACAGTAAATGAAAATATAAATTAACAAATAGGTAAATGTTTTAAAAAAGGAATAGCAAGGATGTCCCCAGCTCTCTGGCTCTCCTACCTGTACTGCAAGGCCAGCCTCAGCGCTGTGGCGTTGGATTCGTATTTTCCCACCAGCATGCTCATCCTCTCGGCATTGCTTTTACATTCCTCCAGGGTTATGGTGAGGAGATCATTTTGGGATTTGAGGTGCTCAATCCGGCTACAAAGAAAGAGACACTGATTTCACATGCCAGAATCTGACATCCGCTTGTCTTCCTGATGCATAGGCTGGATAGTCATGTGAGGATAATACAGCAGGGGGGGAGCAGCAGATAAAATGCTTGCCATGCAAGCATGAGGACCTGTGTGTAGGTCCCTGCATAGGCACGGTGGCGAGCATCTGTAAGTCTGGGATTGTGGAAGATGGTGGGTGGGGGCCAGAGTCAAGCACCTTCCCAGTGATTGCTGGCCAGCCAGCATAGCCAGTGGGTGAGCTCAGGGTTTGATGAGAGGCCCCATCTCAAACACTAAGGTGCAGAACAGTAGACAAAGATGACTAATGTCAACTCCTGACTTCTACACACATGCACAGGTGACCACATGAGCACACACACACAACACAGACAAACACACGCACACAGATGCACACACATAGATAATGCACAAGTGATATGGGAGGCTGGAGACACAGCTCAGTAAAGTGACATTCTTGTGGCAAAAGCGTGAGGAGCCGAGTTCAATCCCCAGCACCCACTTAAAAGCCAGGCAAAGTGGTGTTGTCTGTCATCCTAGCCCTGGGGAGGTGAAGAAAGGGGGAAAACAATGGAGTTTGCTCACCAGACAGCCTAACCAAACTGGCGAGCTCCAGATTCAGGTAAGAGACTCCGCCTCATGAAAAGAAGGTGCAAGAATGATTGAGAAAGACACTTGGTGTTTACCTTTTCCTACACACACACACACACACACACACACACACACACACACACGAGATGATATGGCATTGTTGGGCATTTTAGCAAGTATTAACTGACACAAAACAATCACTAAATTCAGTGTGGATCAAAAATAAAAACTAAGGGCTGAGTGTACTGGTATATGCACATCTTTAATCCTAGGACTCAAGAGTTAAAGTGGATCTCCCCCAACTGCTCTACCCAGTGAGTTCCAGGACAGCCATGGCTATGTAGAGAGACCCCCAACTTAAAAATCAGAAGACGACAACAATAACAAATTAGACTGGTACCCGGCTATGTGTCTGTACTGTGTGAGGCCACGGCTCTAACACCAAGGACAGCAACGGCTCTAGAACCCCACAGCTCTTCAGAGTAACTCCAGAGTAACTTCAGAGCAACAAGCCACAATGCACCAGGCAGTAAACCACATGGTGGTCATAGAGGCTGCTGTTGCTGGGTCAAACTCCCAGCAGCCTGCCCAATCAGGTGTGATCACCCCTGCCACCCAGATGAGGAGACACAGGTACTGAAAGGTCATGGTCCTTGACCTGGAGCTTAACCAGGCTGGTCAACTCAGATCCCGTGCTCTTAACCACACACCACAGAGCACTGGCAAAAGGTGAATTAGTGAGCAATCGGGAAAAACACCACCAGGTTGTCCCTAAAAGTGGGAAATGGACCGGAGACCTGCTGAGGAATAATCCTTCTGTACACTGTGAAGATGTGTTGGTCTCATTGTTAATAAAAATCTGATTGGCCGATGGCTAGGCAAGATTTTCAGGGCAGAGAGGATGCTGGGGACAAGAAGGGCGAAGCCTGAGGAACCACCATGAGAGACAGAGTGAGCAGGATGGAAGGTTCATGGAGGTGACTGAGCCTGGGGCAGCACATGGATTAATAGAAATGGGCTAAGTTATGAGAGCTAGCTAAAAGAAAGCCTCAGCTATCGGCCGAGCATTTATACTTAATGTTCAGTCTCTGTGTGGTTATTTGGGGACTGGCTGGCAGGAAAGAGAAGCCCATTTACAGGGACCCGTGACCACATCCACAGGGCCTCCTAGAGTGGATGTCCAGCAATTCTAACTGTATATTCCAAGCAAAGAATTTGAGGAAAAATCAGAAAACAAATGAAAACCCATTAGCTTCTCCATTTTCTGCCCTAAGACAGCTGGGTGTGGTCATTCCTTTTCCACAGAAGCCACTCTCTAGCAGTCTTCACAGCAGCAAGTCTTCAAGACACTTGGGATATTTACCAACTGCAAGAGATTCCTGAGGGTGGTGGGGTGTGTAGGGTGTGGAAGACATAAATTTTAGAGGAGCATGGAGTTGCCTATAGGGGACATATTGTCTAGAAGAGTGATGAAGATTCCTATGGGTCATAGTGAGTAAGGTATTAGAAACACATGCTTTTCTGCTTTTGTTCATTTTTGGCTTCTTTGAATGGTCCCTATGCTCTCATTTATAATCCCAGTGTGGTGGTCCCTGCTAATTAGAAGCCATTTTCCCCCACTACTGACCTCCATGTGGCTGAGTGTAAACCATCCCTGCCTGAAACGCTGCCTGAAACGCCGTCCTCCCTCAGGTCAGCACACCCCTGCCGGTCTTCTGACTATGAAGGCTGTGAGGATTGGTATTTCCTGGGGCTCAGGCTAGGGAGCCCGTCTTCTGCCAACACTCTCCTTAGGGGTGATTCTATCCAATCTGTGACTCCCAAGAGGCATTCCCGTTTCCATGGCTTCCCATCGTTTCTAGCCCACACCTCTCTCTGAGTGTCAGTCCCACACATCAGCTGCCTCGTGGCGTTTCCATTTGGGGAGGGTCAAGCACTGCCTCCAGCTTTAACAGTGAAGGGGGAGCACACTTTTCTCCAACCTCTCCTCCACCTTCCCCTTATTAGCAGTCACCTCCGCCGTGAGCTAGCACGGGAGCAGCCTCGAGACCCGTCCTTGAAGCCAGACCTCATGTGGATGAAGCTTCTCATATTCCGAGCCTGTTGTGTTTCTGTGTCTCCTGGCCCATGACAGCCATCGCTCTGCTCCCCCTTCCGCTATCCTTTACCTCCAAGCTCCAGACGGCAGAACAGGTTTTGCTCTCCCCCGTTTAAAAATGCCTTCTAACTATATTTAGGCGAAAGAGTAAAATCTGCTGTGGGATCTGAGCCTGCATCCTTGCCAGCCCCTGTCTGGTACCCGGCCTTGCTTCCTTACATCCTCCAGGGCCTCGCTGCCCCAGTCCCACTGGTCTTCGTGTGGCCCCTCCTTCACCTCACCTTCGTCCCGCCTGGAGGTTAAGACTCTTCCAGGCCTTGCCATCATTGCTCCCTTTTCCTTAAAACCTCAACACAAACCTTCCTTCTTTAGAGACCCCTTACCAGACCCTTGTCAGAGAACAACCTCAGGCAAGGGACGTAGCTCGGTGACAGAAGGGTTGGAAAGCTTGTACAAGGTCCTGGCTCCAACCTCCGGCATCCAAAATGACAACAATAACAGATAAATAACTCTTGATCCTTACGGGGTCCTGGAGGCGTCTTTTCATCTATATTTTGTAACAGAATATAAGCAGCATGAGATCAGGGGCCTTCTCTGTTTTGATTTGCTTCTCGTACCACATACTCAGTCCACAGAAGGTGCTGAACACAGATGTGCACATGTGTAATTACAGTTTGGGGTAAGTATGCTCCCCTACCCCGAGAAGTCTGACTCAAAGGCTAGCATTTTAAAAAAGAGTATTAGGCCTTTAACAACAGTCAAATAACAGTCATTAGGACACAGTGTTTCTAAGAAGCCCCCAGTTCTAGCTATGAGCACAGGACAGCAGGGTAAGGGCAACAGGCCTTGGTTAAATAGCTGCTCTGGACTTGACTGCTTAACTTTCAACTTCAAAGCCTTTGGTTTTTTTTTTCTTTTTCATTTGCAAGAGACTAGCCTTATCCTCATGCTGGACATGAAGAGGTTTTCTGTGAGCATCCATTGTGAGCTGCTCATCATATAACCTGAGCTTCAAGCACTAAATAGCACCCTTCTTTGTTCTCTCCTGGGTGCTCACTACTGAGAAGAAAGGTGCCTCCCCCAAGTTCCGCAACAAAGCAGACCTTTGAAATCCCAGCGTAGAGATCTTCAGCTAAAGGCCGAAGACATAGGGCACAGGGCCCCCGAAGGCACATGGTTTCATTCTGTCGCAAAGGGCATATCTGATTCAGGTCTGTGCATTTCGAGGCCAGTGCAGAAAAGTGATTCTGCCTTGCTTCTAGGTCATCATCGGGACTGGTGCTGTAAAGCACTTGGGATTTTATAAGGGAACCTTTTAAGTGCAAGATTTAAAATGGATGAGATGGTTCAGCAGTTAAAAGCACATACTGTTCTTACAGAGGATCCAAGTACGATTCCCAGCACCTATGCTGGGCAGCTTACAAGCTCCTACAACTCTGGCTGCTCCAGGGAGATCTGATGCCTGCCTCTGGCCTCCCCAGGTACCTGGTACTCATGTGCTCATATGCACACAGACATAGACACGCACGTGCTAATGTAAGAAAATAATCTTTAAAATGACCTGGGTCACCACATTTCCTTTGTTCTCCAGAACTGAAACAGCTTCCCATCAGGGAGGAGTCCATCTTGCCAAGCACAAGAGGAATGGAATTTAGCAACAGTAGATGGGAGTTAGTGCTCACATTCCTTCTCGATTAGCTTATGAGCCCTCCAAGCTCTTCCTGTGCTCTCACTACAGACTGCTCAGTCAAGGCAGCCACATCATTCTTGGAGACTGTTGAACGGGCCGTTCTGCTGTCACGGAACAACTCTGAGTCAGTGTGGGTAGCAGGTTTGGCAATGGTACTACTACTTAGCTTTTGAGGCAGCTCCCTCATCACTGAGATTACTCTCAAGCTTGTCTTTGCCAAGAGGCAAGAATCATACTACAAGTTGTCTACAGCAAGAAAATCAGGAAGAATCGATAAAGCTGTTATGTGGTAAACATAACCAGTTAGGACAGGATGTAGGGACATCCTATTTTTGTTTGAGCATAAAGAAAATCAGTTAACCCTCAGAAAAAGCAGAGAATTAGAGCAATATGTGGGGCCAGTGCCAAGAATGGTTCCAGCACATTTTCTTTGCTCCTCCTGGCAAACACAAGCAGCCCCAGACACTGACTCAACATTCCAGGGCGCCCCACTGTGACTCTCTGCGGCACAGGCCTGTACGCACGCTTGGCAGCCATCTATGACCTACTTGACATTCTCTGTGGATGGCTCCCAAGACTCGATACACACTTCACAAGGTCCAGAGTGAAATGAGAAGGCGGGGCCCCTTGTTCATACATTATTAAGGATTTGGAGTAGTAACAGCAGAGTCATACAATGCATCTGTGCTACCTTCCTAAGCACAAAGCCCCATGTGGACGTGTGTCCCAGTCCTGTGCCGTTGACCCTGACTGCCATAAGCTCCCCTCGCCTCAGCCCCACCAGCCTGGCCATCTCACTGCAGGTCACAGAGCACAAGCCAGTTTGGACGAACCTTTAGAGAGAGGCGGGGAGTGGCTCCCACCCGCAGCCCACTCCCAGTGAAAGACATCAGACCGCTCTCACCTATTCAGCCGTTCCGTTTCCACCTCGAACTCTCTAATCTTGCTTTCGGAGATGGCAGATCCATGGGAGTAGAGTGTTTGGAAAATTTCCTGGATATTGGAACAGTCCTGAAGTGAGTGGGCCAGGTGCTCTGCCACGCTGCTGGAAACCTGTACAAACGGACACAGTTCCCTCCAGAGACACTGGTCCCCAGGCAGTTTACACATGCAACAACTTAAAGGCAAGACTCTCTAGGAATTGGGCACCAGGTGACGGTTACCCCTCTGAGTCTCACGGGTCTCAGCTGGCATAATTGAAGCATTAAAAGACAGCTGGGAAAGCATGCTATGAGACACAATCAGCTCACAGCTGCACCTCCTGAGTGATGCTGGGAATCAACATGCAGGGGAGATCCGTTCTCTTAGAATCCTGGGAATTGTGGAAGTTAAATATAGTCTGGGCTGCCTTCTCTTACCCTAGACTCCTGACACTCTATAGTCACATTCTTTGGTGACTGTGCCCCCCCCGAAAAGAGGCTGTTCCCTCTACCCTTACACTTTGGTTTGGACACAGAATCTGAATGTGTGTGATTTTTTTGCTCAGTGTAAAACTTCAAATTAGGAAACGGAAGTGAGTCCAACTTCATGTCTACACCTAAAACACACTCCTTAAAGAGCTGGACCTCTTCCCTTGTCACCTGGAGGTTACAGGCTCCAGGCTACGATGCCTCTCATACCGATCAGGCAGCTCCTGTCCATTCTCTACTAGTTTTGGGCCACACTTCAAAGACAGCATTCTCCATCCCTGGACAGTTGCCTCCCTTCAAGATGTATGCGCAAGCACACAGTTCCCTTTGGTGTTTTGCAACTCCCTGGGTCTCTGTCAGGCAAGGTGACATAAAGCAGATACTCCAAGACACTCAATGGCACCACAACTAAGGACATGATATTTCCTCTTCGGAAGATTTCAAGTGTGTCAGGGATAGGGTGGGGTGGGGTGGGCGGGGTGTCGCCCTGAAAGCTGAAATAGCAGTTCACCATTTAGAAAGTTTACAACCTTTTACTTTGCCTTTGTGGAACGAGACCATTATGATTTATTATATAATTAACTGACAAACGGGGAGTGAACAATGGCATTTCCATCCCATAGGCGCCACGGTCTGTGTGGCTGTTTTGGGTTCTTTCTTTCCTTACCCCTTGCCGACACTCACCCCAATGCTACTGATTTCTGATCCCAGGACTGGCCGGTCAGACGATGATGATTCCGATCTGGTCTTTGATAGCTTCACTCTCTCAGCAATCTTAAAAAAAAAAAAAGGAAAGTCCACACCACTCCCCCACACAAGTTGAGTCCATGCTTACACAATTTTTAGCAATGTCAAGGAAAATGATTCATTAAAACAATTCATTGGTTCAGCCCTGCTGCCATAAACTTGAACCCGGCTTCTCAGCCTCAGCACCTCTGGGTCTGGACAACTTGGGGATGGGAGAGCTGCTCTGCCCACGACAGCATCCCTGGACTCTAGCCACAAGATGCCAGTAGCACTCCAGTTGTGACCATTCAAAATGTTCCCCAGGAGACAAAAGTCACGTGTGGCTGAGAAGCATGGTTTCACCTAACTTAATAAACGTAAAGGCTCAGAAACAGCTTCATTGTGGAGACTATCAGGGCTGCCAGGCAGGAATACACCTGCCATTTGTACCCTGTGACAGGTTCTTTTTAGAAGCTTATACAAAGGCATTGTGTGCTGTGTGGCAGGAACAAATGGTAACAATGTATTTCTTTTCTTTTTTGTGACAGTGTCTCACTATGGACCCCTGGATGGCCTGGGACTCACAGTGATCCTCCTGCCTCTGCCTCCTGGCTTGAATTGCAGGCTTGCAATGCCACACTTAGCTCTGTGATGTTTTCGTTTGCTGGCATAGCTGTCAGTCTTCTGAGGGGGAAAATCATTGCTTCATCACTTAGGGTCCCCTAGGGGCTGAACCTTAGTTCCTTGAAAGAAAGTATCCATCCACCTCTAGGTTGCACTGGACAAAACTCTCCACAATGGCTTGTCAGCTGTGACATTTTCCAGCAGGCTGATTAATGAGAGCTGCCATACAGGTTGCAACTGAGAGAGACTTAAACCTATTAGTGGGTTATCTCTCCCTGCAGCCTGGCTTGGGAGAGTTGACACTCAGTCCCATGGGAAGCCCCTAGGGTATGCACACTGGTATGCCTACACAATGGTGGGCTCAGCCACAGCTGGGGTTTTCAGATAAGAAGATTTCCAATCCCCAGACTCATCCCTGGGAGCTCACCTTGGCGATGGGGATGTCATTGCTGCTACTGCTGGTGCTTAGCTCTCCAGTGCTGGGGTTAATCGGGCGATTGGCAGAAGTGAGGCGACCAGGGCTAGAAGGTCCAGTGGCCTGGACACTCTGCAGTCGAGTTTGGAGCTCTCGGACCTGAAACCATAATCCCTTTAGACAGAGTTGGTCGTTTCTCAGGATAAAGGGCAAAGGAGCCAGACAGTCAATGGCACGGTTCCCAACTGTAATGCTTAGCTGGTCAAGCTCACTGAAGTCACTGTATCCTTAAGTGGAGTCACTGCTAACTAATCATCTGTTATTTACCAGCAGGAAGGAGAGTATGCAAACTAAGCAATGGATGCTCCCAACCCAGGAGGAGATTTGTTCATATAGCAGAGAAGCAGCTGATGCTGCGGTTGTCAGTGCAGATAAGGATGTGATCTCTAGTCTTAGGGAAACTCAGAGCCCACACAAGCATAGCAAACAGGTCTTAACATGCATGCACAAACGCTAGAAACATCATTCCTAAGTGCTCCAAGACAGCAGAACTTGGGAAGACTGTGCCTCCACCTGAAGTGACTCCAGAGCGTGTAAGGAGGTATGCATGTGATAGGAGTTCCACAGGAGGATGTCAGGGGTGGGCTTAGCAGAGACACCGCTGGGGTAGTGTGGAGTCAGGGAATACAATTATATGCACAGTGTCTGGGAGATATGTTATAGGAGACAGGGGTTTGGGAGAGAGGCGAGGGCAGGATGGAGTGACGGTGCAGATACCAACAACTTTCCTCCAGATAGCCAAGGCTAGGAGTGTCCCTGCTCCAGTGGGAAGGAGCATCTACATAGCCAAGGCATAAAAACTCAGTGATTAAGGAAGGACACTGGCTGCTCTTCCGGAAGACCAGGATCAGTTTGAAGCACCCCCATGGAAGCTCATGGCTATCTGTAACTACAGTCCCAGGGGACCAGATGCCCTCTTCTAGCCTGCACAGGCACCAGCTACAGGTGTGATGCCCAACCATACCTGCAGGCAAAACACCCAAACATATGAAATTTTTAAAATGAATATTTAAATCTCATTTATCTGTGGTCACTACTCTGTGACCTCCAAGGGGAGAAAGATCTCAGTAAATGGGGACAGTTGCTACCTTTCTGATAGCCATGGGCACACTTTAATCAGTAGGGTACAAGGGCTGTTATTATACTCACTATGCAGCCAAGGAGACCCTGAACTTCTGATCCTCCTGTGTTTAGAGTACTGGGATTACTGGGCAGTGCCATCTGGTTTATTATACTTCAGGTTGACTACAGCTCCCACAAGTTCTTATGATAGAACTGTCAGATTCGATCAAAAAGAAGACACACTTGACATTTAGAGTAGGGTTTTCCAAATTTTGTGGTTTACCAGATCTCCCTTATAGTGCTAGTCAAAAACCTAGATGGCGGGCCAGGCGTTGGTGGCACACACCTTTAATCCCAGCACTCGGGAGGCAGAGGCAGGCGGATCTCTGTGACCAGCCTGGTCTACAAGAGCTAGTTCCAGGACAGCCTCCAAAGCCACAGAGAAACCTTGTCTCAAAAAAACAACAAACAAACCTAGATGGCAGAGCCCCACCCCAGTGGTTTAGATTTTTACCAGTGCTACAAGAAGCCAAGAATCTGTGTATCTAATGAGCCCCCCAAAGATGTGAATGCTGGATGTCAGAGAAACACACCCTGAGTGGCTAACCCAAGACTGCAAAGCATTATTGCCTCACAGATAGGCAGAGCAGAGCTAAAGCCCTGTGTCAGCCCCTTCCAGGCAAAAGCAGAGACCAGATTACCTGCCCCTCCCCCCAAGAGCATCTCATAGAGAGCTTTCATATTGAATGTCTGGGCTATCTTGGGAACCAAAAGTAATTGAAATTTCAATAATTCATCAACATATTATAAGCCAAAATAGGGAAGTTCCCTTGGAGCAAATTGCATTCAATAGTGAAGCTGATCAAAAGAGCCTAATGCTTTTCTGTGGCTTTCAGGAGGTGGGACTTGCTGGAAATGTGCAGTGTCCTCACAATACAACAGACACAGGGGCCAAAACAGCGGACAGACTGGGCCACCCCAACACAGACAGGGTACAGACCATAAAGACACATGTCTGCCAGAGTCAAACAGAATTCCTGATGGGAGATTTTTCTAGAATAGTTCCTAACAAACCAAAGGCAGTGTCGGTGTGGAGGTGTTTATCAGACCACTCTGCAGAGGGCAAGGCCCAATCTCTCAGTATGTTCCCAGGCAGCTGCCCTGTTGGAGTCTGTGAGGTCCTGAATAATTAACAAAGTTAACATCACTCTAAAACTTACATTCCGTCTACATGGAACAGGAAACAATCAATGGCCCACACCTAAAGCACCAATCAGCCCACTCATCCTGGTTGGTTGGTTTGGTTGGTTCGGTTTTTTGAGTCAGGATCTTATTCTTTAGCCTAGGCTGGCCTTGGATCTTATGGCAATTGGCCTGCATCAGTTTCTCCAGTGCAAGGATTCATACATGAGCCACCATGTTTGCTTTTAAAAATACAAATAGTCCTAGCAAATATATTACAACACCATTAAAAATGACCTATGTTTCAGAAATGTTTGCCTTCCTAACCACAAAGGTACTGAATATTGACTATGGAAAAAGCTAAGTAGCACTGCAAGTTAAAACAGAAAAGGTTTATGTGTCCCTTCCATCTGCTCTCAGACAATTGCTTCTAGTCATTTCCTATATGCACTCATGTGCTTAAGTAACTTCTAAATCTAAACATTTTCATTTTAAAAGCTGAGGACCCTGTGAAAATTAAAGGATGATAAGCGCCTTCCTTTTGGACTATGCCTTATTTCTTAATGACAGTGTTCATCAGTTGGCAAAAACCCAGCTTAAGAGTGTGTAGTTAGTTATACAGAAAGAAGGGCAATTGGAGGGAATACAAGATCATCTCCTATAAATTTGGGGTGAAATTAAATGACCCAAACCCAGAACTAAAAACTACCCAATAAACCAAGTTAGCCCACATTCATGGGGAGGAGCCCCTTGACACATGGATACCTTGGTGGAGTGTGAAGGTAAAACTGTCTGCAGCAGACTCTCCTGCAGTAACAGTGTTCTGCAGTGGAGTATGAAGGTAAAACTCTCTGCAGCAGACTCTCCTCCAGTAACAACAGTGTTCTACAGTGGACTATGAAGGTAAAACTGTCTGCAGCAGAGTCTCCTGCAGTAACAGTGTTCTGCAGTGGAGTATATAGGTAAAACTGTCTGCAGCAGACTCTCCTGCAGTAACTACAGTGCTCTACAGCAGGCATGTCTGCAGGGGTAGCACCAGATGTGTGAGGTTATACTGCAAACTCTTGCAGTGTGGCTAGTTTACTCATGGAGATGAATTTTAAATTGTGTTTGATTGGAATTTATTTAAATTCAAACTTGAATAGTTGTACGTGGCTAGTTAAAACGAAATAGCTGTCCATTCTTGAAGATGGGTGACATCATAGATCATGGTATTTTTCAGTGCAGTGGACACACACACACACACACACACACACAGAGACAGACAGACAGACAGACAGACAGAGACAGAGAGAGAGAGACTGGGAATGGCGAGTTACTTCACAACCTCAAAGCCCAGCCATAGTGAAATGCCTCTTTCAGCAAGGTCACACTTCCTAATTCCTCCCAAACAGTTCCACAAACTGGAGTGAGTCTGTGACGGTCTTTCTCATTCAAACCACCACACAGGTCATGACTGTAACCCTACATTTCAGAGAGCTTGAGGAAGGATTTTTAATTTTTCACTATAAAATTAAAAAGAAATCCCTGAGCAGACATCTCTAACCTGACTTCACATTACTCAATGTAAATGCATTCAAATACCACACTACCATAAATGCATATTTTAATACATCAAAAATTTAATAATAAAAGATATTTTTACAAGTTGGGCTGGAGATGGTTAAGTAGTTAAGTAGTTATCACACAAGCAAGCAGAACAGGTTTTAGATACCTATAACTCACTAGATTCAGGGTGGGGACAGTGGCCTGCCTGTCAGTTCAGCTCTGCAAGGTTCAGAAAGAGGATCCCAGAGCAAGCTATATAGGCAAGCTATATGGGTTTGATTGAGTGAGGGTGATCACAGACGATTCATGTTGTCTACCTTGGGCTTCCACAGAATATACACACACAAGCTCTCTCTCTCTCTCTCTCTCTCTCTCTCTCTCTCTCTCTCTCTCTCTCTCTCTCTCTCACTCACACATACATATGCACACGCACGCATGAGTGCAAAAAATAAGAGAAAAAAGCTGAGAGTATACCCAGTAGATCAGAAGAGTTCAATATAATGTTTGGGGCCATCTATGCCCACGTGGAAAGCTGCCTAATTTGAGCCCAGGAGGTTCAATCCTCTTAGTGGAGATTTTAGAAGACTCTTCATGGAGCCTTGGAAAGAGAAAAGAGAATCCAAGTGTAGAAAACACAGGTTTATTCTTAGGATGCTAACTTAAACAGTACTTTAGGCAAGTGTTATGCTATCACCAATAGCAATCTGAGGTGGCTGAAGCAGACCACAAAATAGGAAGGAAGAACATAAGCTGTTTCCATAGCTCTAGGATTTGGCAGGTGTATTCTCCTTTGTTCTTCAGTCCAGGAAAGCACCGAGATCTGGTTGTCGAATGGCTTTGGCTACACGGCGAGTGCTCTGTCTGCCCTCCCAATTTCTTCCCAGATTTCTGATTTTGGACGGCTAATTAGTTCCTTTATAGTCAAGAGTTAGCCCTGAGCAACTTCAAAGGTACAGTGAGGGCAGGGATGGAGGGTCAAAAGTAAGTGTGACAACCAGAGGCATTATCTTAGTGCTCATCAGCACAAAGTGTGAGCTCATTCTTCCTAGGGGACCTTGGAGCCACTCCCAGAGAGGTGGCAGCACCAGAGCTCCGACCAGTCCTACGCCTGAGGTCCCAGTAAGCTCCCCCCATCATACGGCAGGAAGAGAGTGTACTTCATCAGCAATGCTCCGCTGGGCTCACAGCACCTAGAGTAACACCCACACAGAGCTCTCTCCTAAGATCATTTTGTTTTCACGTAAGATGCCAGAAGAGATTTGTTGAGACCTATGGAACCTGACCTCTACGTCACTATTAATAGAATACTTGCTAACTGCCAGTCTGTGTGGGAGGAAGAACAGAGTGAAGAAGAGGGCGGGGAAGAGTACACAAGAAAGCAGTTTGAGGAAGACACCAGTAAAAAGTGCATCCTGAAACGAGGCTGCCAGAGCCTAAATTGTGGAGGTTAACATCAACTATGGTGTTGACAGCGAGTTCAAGCATAAGGGGACCCCTGGAGAGGGAGGTGGAACTCACTTCAAGACACACAGAGAAGACTCAGGTAGAGTGTAGGATGTACGAAAGAAATTATTACCACCACCTTGTGCCATGGGTATGCACAACTTTCTAAAGAATGTAAGGCTTCCAAAGGGACTGCTGTGGTCTATTTGTTTCAAGTCTATTTGATTCAATGGCACATGGATTTGCTGACTTTGTGATACCAGAATTCTATATTCTATTTATTTATTTATCTATTTATTTAAATTTCATCTTACTTTCAAATCACAGTTCTCCTTCCTACTCCTCCTTTTGCCCCTCTCGCTCCCCCAGCCCACCCCCCATCCATTCCTCCCGAAGAGTAAGGGCTCTCATGGGGAATCAACAAAGCCTGGCACATTCAGTTGAGGCAGGAGCAGGCCCTTCCCCCTGCATTAAGGCTGAGCATGGCCTCCCACCATAGGAAATGGGCTCCCAGAAGCTGAATCTATCCCTGGTGCATGAGCTAAACAGACTGGGCAAAGAGTTGAACATTGTGGCTTCATAGCAGCTGACCTAAGCAGTTTAGGTCAAAAGCGCAAACAGTATGGAGAAACCAAACTGGTCATCACAAGTCCTTACCCACCAACCTATAACACTGCAACGGCTCTCCAACATCCCTGAAGCCAAGGGTCATATTCCAGTTTATCACTGTGACCCCTTACCTGGCCAGAGAAGGCTAATCATTTGTGAAGAGCACAAATTAATGAAAGAACAAAATGTTTTTCTTGAGACACTAATCCTACTTTGGTGAGTTTGAATCTGCTTTTGTAAGCATGAGGAAATAAGTGGTGACATTACAGGACACTCAGAAACAAATGATTACTTCATTTGATAATGAACAGAGACCAATAATAATATTTGCCTGCTGTCCCTTAGTTACTGCTCTGCCAAGTAGCCCAATTTGTTAACTGCCTGCATCAAAGACCTAATTTAATTAAATCTTGAACAAGGCTCAGAAGACCTACAGAGAGCACTTGGTTTAATTGCAGGCAGGGGACAAGCACCAATTTTATTGATCTAGTCAAATCTAAGCGATGAAGATGGGCAAAGGGAAAACATGTGGCCCCATTGCTCTCCAGGAAACATTGATGAATTGTGAGCATGGAGCTGCCACAGAGACAAGCAAAACAGACGTACGTTATGCAGACTCAGAGAGACCAAAATGAAACTGAACCTCACTCACTCTCAAGGCTGCAGGTCAGGCAAACATTAGACCACAAGAGACAGATCCCTCTTCGGGGAAATGACATGTGTTGGGTAATGTGCGGTGGAAGTCCTCCAGTATTTAAAGTCTAAAAAAACTGGCATTCAAAAGGAAATTCTTTAAGGTTCACAATTGTCTAGAAGTGAAAAGAAGTCAATCCAGATCTGGGGTAAATACACAAGTTCTGGAGGACATAATGCACATTCCTTCAAAATTTGTTATTTGGAGATAAATGAGGTGCACATTATGTACATTTATATAAAGTATAATGACAGCACAAACAGATGGGTAAAAAAGATACATATTTTGCATATGTTTATATTTAATTGTTCATTGTCCAGGTTAGAGATGTGCAAACGCCTAAGGATTCTTATGAATAAAAAGAATATATAAAGGCAAATCTTCCATATTACTCAAATCTTGATTTTACCCATAGCAACTACCGCTCCTTTTCTAGCATTTACTGCATGCTGGGCACAATGTAACCATTTTGTGAGTATTATTTAATCATCCTACACCAAGTATTACCGCCATCATCTTCATGATGAAGCAAACAGGCCCAAAGAGGTCAGGTATCTGGCCAAAGACTCACAGTGCCTTTGCAGGACAGGCTTTGAGTCTAGGCTGTCTGGTTCTGGGGCTCTGGTATAAGATATCCCTCCAGAGTACGCTCTTAGTGCTGGCCTCTAGAGCTGAAACAAAAACTCTGAATGGCAGGACGACTGGCTTTTTTTTCTTGTGAGTTACAAGCAAGGGCTCTCTGTGCTTTACAAGCCCATGTTAGAGAAAAAGATTTATTTTAAACCAGTGACTACATTGAAGGCCAATATTTCCCTTGCAAAACATGAGCCAGCACACGCAAGCTCACACCTAATTAGACTATCAGTTATAGAGATGGGAAGTGTGACCCAGGTAATTACAGGTGGTATAGGCCTCCATGCTAAGTCAACTCCATCAGGATCACCAGACCCACCTTTGCTGACTTGAAGGTTTACAACTCCACATGCATGAAGGGAATATCAGATTATAGCTGGGTTCTAGAAATACACTTATGTGAGTTCAGAAAGATGCTGTCCTTAATTATAACATCACCTACAACGAGGGACACCTTCAAAACTAGTAATTTGCTCATATCTATACCCAATGAGTAGATTGAGACTTGCTGACCTGACATAATTGTAGCATCTATGCAGATTTAGGAATTCCTGGGAAGGCTGCTTTTTTAATCTTACCTCTACCCTAAGGATCTCTGAACTACTTTCATGAATGACTTCAGAACTGGAAGAACCTGGCGATTCCTAAGAGTGAGAATCCTTAAGATGAAGGCTCTGGAATCTCTCCCTCAGATGCCTTGGCTCTGCATGCCCACCCCTCCCATCCCTACCTAAGCCAGGCCTGGCTGCATGCTCACCCGTCTCCGGAGCCTGTCGCGCTCCTCGCGGATGGCATTCATAGTGGCCTTGGTCCGGTTCAGCTCCTCTTCTTTGCTACACAGCATGGCCGTCAGGCTTTCATTCTCTTCCCGCAGTCCAGCCAGCTCTTTCTCCCACCGGGAACGCTCCTCAGCCAGGTTGGGATAAAGGTCCCGACCAAGAACTCCCTCAATCTCCTCAACTGTCTGAAAAACACAGTCACACATCAAAGCCGTGCTAGGTCCCTTGGAGTAAGGGGACAGGAAGGATGAGCCTGTGAGCCCAGGAGTGGGGTGAAGAGCCCCACATAGTGACATCTCTGGGTCATTCTCTCCTCAGATTCAGATGAGGCTGCCACTTGCCTGCATCACAGTCTGTGCTACTCAGTAGTCCCCAGAGTTAAGTACAACAGGGACCCTTCTTGGTGCTGAGGCTGTGCGTGGTACCCACACAATGTTTATTTCCTTTAGGAGCTCCAGAGCTGGTCAAAATTTGCATCGAGGCAGCAGGCCGGTGAGTGATCCTGATAACACTGTGACTAACACGAGGTTGCAGGATGCACACAAAGTCTAATTGTAAGTTTCCTAAATTACAGGCCTTCCGTGAGCCAGCTCAGCAATAAGGAAGGTCACATCACAATTTCCCACTCTTGGTGTCTCATGAGAATTCAGATGGTGTGAATGAGCTTCAGTCCCAAGATGGCAAAGACAAAAATACAGCTTTGGTGACACAGAAAAGAGTGGGCCCTTAGTGGAGGCTCCTCAGACAGCAGGGAGTCATTTGGCTAATGAGATGGATTTGAACCAAGTAGAAGAAAATCTTAATAGTATTTGGAAAGTTCTTTTAAAATTTTCATTTTAAACACACAGTTAAAGGATCAGGAAGACATGTAAAATTAGGAAGACCGTTCTCTGCTTGTTCTGAGAACGATTCATCCATATTGTCCTTTAGAAGGAGCATGGCCCAGCTGGCTCTTAAACGGAAGGGGAATTGCTGAGCAGAGAGATCACACAGCGATGAGAAACAGAAGGCTCCCAACACTAAAGACATAGCAGCGGGTCACTCGCACCAGTTTCTCCGGGGAAGACAGGCACCCAAATCTTGTCACCTCTATCCACATGTGGTGCTTTGTCCTTCCTTTCAAATCCAAGATGGTCTATCTGGCTCTGCTTTCTCCACAGCTAGTTGCCAGAAACCCTTGCCCACCCCCAATGCTGAGACCAGAGCTAGCCCCCAAGTCAGCAATGCAATCAAACCCGGGACTTGGGAGAGACCAGAGAAAACACACACCAGGGAGTGACTGCTTCTCCACGTGCTGAATCCTACCACCTATCCATCTGCGACCCAGATGAAGAAAAATGCAAAGAGCAGCAGATGTACTGGAAATGCTCTTCATAATTCATCTGAGGGCACTGCCACCCTCTTGGGAAATCCAGAATTCTTCCTGACAGAAACTTGGGGCTGGACTGTCCCTTCATATCAGTTCCTGCAAGACTTGAAAGTCTGGGTTGCAAGGCCTTAGTCGTTAAGCCATAAAGAAGTAATATAAAGACACCCGAGGCCTGGGATCAGGCAGAACTTGACATTCCCATTATCTGGAAAGAGGTGAGGCTGTGCACATGCTATGAATTCCTCTCATTCAGTCTTTTCTCAGAAGTAAGAGGAAAACGTAGGAAAGGTGTGGTCAAGACCCAGATACACGGGCTGGGCACCAGGTGACTCAGCCAGATCCCTTTCGGACAGCACAGACTGTGATCTTACAAAGTTGGGTTCTGGAAACCTTAAATCTGTAAGAAAGCCTCTGAGGTCGACTTGCAACATAAGGATATTATAGTGGCTAGGCGTAGTGGTGCATACCTCTAATCCAGCACTTGAGAGGTAGAGGCAGGTAGATTTCTATGAATTTAAGTCACCTTGGTCTGCAGTCCCAGGCCACCTAGGGCTGCATAATGAGACCCTGCCTCAAAAAGAAAAAAAAAACTGTGGTGGACTACACCAAAATGATGTAGGTTGGTGCTACTCGTGCAATGGTTTCCAAGTAAACCATCACTGTTGATATGCCAACCCTCCCAGGGTAATTTAGCCCAACAAATATTTATAGAACCCCTGCTTTAGTGGATGGCTCAATATGGTTTGTATGGCTGTCAACAGCCAATAGGTATTCAAGAAATCTAATGTCGAGAAAGGAGTCTGCCCCTCCCCTCCTCTGACCTCAGAAAGCCAAGAAGACGGGGAGCGAGGCCCACCTTGATGGCCAAGTCACAGTGTTCGCTGGCCGTGGTGAGCTGCTCGATGTGCCTGTCCACCTCGGCTACAGAGAGGTTACAGCTGCTCTTCTTCCTGCCGCAGACGACACTCTCCAGCCCCGTCAGGACCCTCTGCAGTTCCGAGTTCAGGTCACTGCAGTTATCTGAGAGAGGAGGAGGACAAAATCCATTAACAAGCAAATGGGCAATGCATGCTTTTGGTTTCTTTTACCTTAAGAGGCTCATTTGGGAGCAATGGGAGAACAACGGCACTCCCAAAGTCAGCATCACCCAGCCCCATCCCACTGGCTGCTACCCGAGGCTCGCAGCCAATACAAATCCTTTATTAAAGAGTTTTAGACTTTGGCCACTTTCTAAATACCTGAACCACCCCGAGTTCTCTTGCCTTTTAATCAAGGCAACAACATGGAGCTTTGCTAGTAAGAGCATAGTGCCCCACAAGAGACTTTAAACTCCAGTCAAATCCTCTTGCTCAGCCATTCAGGACCAACACTGATTCTAGAAGTACAATAAAGATCTCTCAATCTCATTGAACAACAACAACAACAAAAAACCTCATAATGAGCATCACTGATAGATATTAAGACACAGAAACTGTAAGAAACTATTCCTGCCTTCAGTAAGCTTCAAGTCTGCCTCAGATCCTGCCCCCCATACAACAGCTGGTAATGTTCCACCTGTACAATTTAATCCATGTCCTCCTGTGGGGTGATAACCAACTTCTAACAAACTCCATAGTTCTCTATATAAATGTAAACAATTCTAATAAGTTTATGTTAACCATCTGGGTTACCATTAAACTCCTGGATTCCAGAGTCTGGTCAGGGAAAGAAAGTTAATTATAATGAGTTAGATACATGTTATAAAATAGTTCTTTTGTGAACAAAAATCCCTTCAAAAATCAACCACCATTCTTCTCCCTATTGTTCTGGATCCTGTATATTGCCATAGCTTTCAATTATTGTAGCAAGTTCTGTGTGGAGGATGCTATAGTCTCCCCAAGCAAGCCTGGGTAGCCTGTGTCCTGCATGCAAGGAGCTGGTATCTTCCCAGTTCCCCCTCTGGTCACATGTCTGTGTTGGTCAGTGCACCTACAAGACAACTGCTTTTGGTGCTAAGCTTCGGAGCACTTCATGAAACTGCATGAAACTGCTCAGCATTATGGGAAGTAGATTTCTCAGGACCATTTAACCAACTTCATTTGGCTGTCCACGTCTATTAGTTTCCCAAACCTAGAGAGCCACACAGCAGGAATCTTTTACTCTAACCCACGCATACAACGATTCCATCTTCTCAAAACTGCTTCTTTCCGTCTCTCCCACCTCCGTGAATGGAACCCACCACCTAGCCAGTTACTCAGGTCAACTCTGAGGCAACCTTCATGTCCTTTGGTCTCACATCCTAAATCCAATCCGTCTTGTAACTGCAACCTCCACCTATCCTCCAAGCCAGCAACTCCACTCCCCACACTGTAGCTAGACTGAGACCAAACTGTCCAATGACTTGCCCTGCCCCTTACCACTAAACTAAGATCACACTCCTTACCACAATCGTCAACAACTCTACATATATCAGCGACTCATGTCCTCAGCCCAGGTTGCACCATGCAATCCCTGGGGGAGTATTTATAAAATGCCAATGCCAGGGCCCCACCCAGGACCAATTAAATCACAATCTCTGGGGGTGGGGCCTAGATACTGGAAACGTTTTCAGTTCCTCAGATGGCAGAATCACTAGCCTGACCCTCTGCTCCTCTGTCACTGCCCCCCAGGTTCCCTTTGCTCTTTCCTACTATAGGGCTTCTCTCTATCACCAGAAGATGTCAAATTCTGATCTCTCCCAGGCGCTCTTCTGCTTCGCTCCCTCCCACTTACCACACAGCTTCCCCACCGAGACACTGCTCTCTAGAGCACAGGGATCCCATCTCTGGTCTCTTTCCAGTCCCCACGCCTGCGCCCTATCTGATCTGACATGTATGTTCCTTATCTTCCCCTTCTATGAAGAAAAGGACTTTGATCTTCCTCATCACTGCATCTCAAAGTAGAACAGGCTAGGCAATCAAAAACAATTGCAAAAGAGTAAAAGTCAGCGCTACACAGTGGAGTCAGCAACACAGAGAAACGAGACTGTCAGCACCGGGACACTTGGCGCAGGCCGTAGGCTTTTCTTCATCATGCACAGGGGATGCTGACAGTGGGGAGGGGAAGGGAGACGCACATCAGGGCGGTTTGCCTGGATAGGAAGGACAGGACCTTAGCACCCAGGTGAGGCAAAGGGGTCCAAGTGTGGAGCAGCTGACTCTGTCACCACACAGTCCCGTCTCTGAGTGACCATTGACACTAGGTGCAGGTTCCCGGGGAACCAGAACTGGGTGAGCACACATTCCCAGATCTGAACGTGCTTCTCAGCAGGACTGAGAAAAGTAGGGTTTATCTTCAGTCACTCCACCCCTCACTCATACAGGACCACCTGGTGGTGGGTGAGCCTTGCTGGCTGCGTCTGCTACACAGTTCAAGAGTACAGTGCAAGACAGTGACCTGGCTTTGGGGAACAGAGGGAAGAACAGGGGACTTTTGCCCACCCACTCCCAGCAACATGGGGGGTTGGCAGGAGAACAGGAACCATGACAGAAACTTTCTATGGTCAGGGTCATGGCAACAGCTACTACAACCAGAATAGGGCTCTCTGGGCAGACGACCACAAGCCTGCACGTGGATTTCCTAGTTACAGCCAGAAGAGTCAACAGAGGGCAGACGAACGGGGAATAGTAACTGTGAAAGTGCTCTGAGAAAATATAGGGTTTATATGATAACCCCGGGACTAGAATGTGAATGAATCTTAAAAACATCATGTCATGTAAAATAAGCCAGGGACAGGGGTTCTACTTTTGTAAGATGTTTAGAAGCAAATGCATAGACAGCAAGCAGCATAGAGTCTGGGAAGGATATACTGGGCAGTTACTATTTGGTGTGTGCAGGGTTTTGAGAATAAAAAGGATAGTGGTGATGGTTGTAAAACTATGGATGCAGTTAAAACCTCTGAACTGCTCTCTTAAAAATGTTTACCATGTTGATGATTCCCAGTGGAGGGTCTCACTATCCCTGGGGAGTGGGTGGTGGGTGGGTTAGGGGGCCGGTGGGAATCATGGGAGGATGGGAGGGTGAGGGAATGGGGGGATAGATATGTAATTAAGAGTGTTTCTGAAAATAAAATGATAATAATAAAATGCTTATCATACTATAATGCTATGTATTATGATATATATTACATATATATGCTCACAACAAAAATAAACATATTCCAGTACATAAACTGGGAACTCAAAAGCTAACAAGCTTATAGGAAACAGAAAACATCACCTTCAAGTTTATGCTTGGTTTGGAAGGAAGCTGAGGGGGTGTTCATGAACAATGTCTGGGGTGGGGTAGGAGAACACGAGAAAAAGATACAGGAAGCCTCAGCAACTGACAGAGTTACTGACTCGTCACTACTCTGAGCGCACATGCCATCAGGAGCCTACAGCCAAAGGCAGCGGGGAGGGGACTTCAGCCACGCTAAGCTTTCTATGGAGAAGGTAAGGTGACGGCCCTATTCTACCTCCGAAAGACAGGAGGCCCTCTGTATCAAAGATGCATTCTTTAACACGACTTATTTACATCATTACTTAAAGGAAAAAAACTAGAGGTAGCTTTTTGACAGGTCGCCACAAATAACAGTGACGCACAGCCAGAGGGACTGGGGAGACTTTGGAAATAAATCCTGAACAGCACAGCTGCAGGGGACAGTTTTGTCTGTTTAGCCCTGAGCTTTCTGGCTGCCAGAGGCAGAATGAATTATCTCCTGGCAGTAGGGAGCAAGCATCCCCGTTTCATAAGAGAGACTATGTGCTTTTGGCTGTAGATCTTCAAGGTACACGGACTTCCTGTGTATCCTGAGGTGATGCAACTGTGTCTCCCAACAGTGTCACACGCATGGAGGTCTCAGTTTCTTTTCATGCTAACCTTCGGTGGGAGAGTCTCAGAAGAGTGAAGCTCAGATAATCTAAGCAGCTGGCCCCGATAGTTAACTTTCTGTAACAGCGAAACAGGACTTGAAGAACAAACAGAACAGAACCCTCTTTGGACTAGAGGGGCCCAAGCAGGCAGAAGTGGCCAACAATGCATCTACACATCTGACAAGCACCAGTGTCTGGAGCAGTCTTTGTTGTAAATTTAAAGGTGGGTTTGATTTATTATTACCATCCAAAGTTCATTACAATTTATACTTGTGTTTATACAATTTATTCTTGGAGTACTGGGTCGGTAATTGCTACACCCAGCACAGCGACCTTCAGAGCCATCAACAGCTGACCCCCTTAGACCTGGTAATGTCTATGTGCACCAAGGCTGAGGGAGCATGGCTGTCCTCTGTGGCTGCCTCCCTCTGTTGGGATCTGAAGCTTCTCCTACATTTTGCTATCTTCTCTAAATGTAACCTACCCTAGACAGAATCCGGTACCAACTGGAGAGCCAATGGTCAGGATCTATTTTCCTGAGGATCTAGGGCAAGTGTTTCTCCACCTATGAGTCATGACCCCTTGGGGTCTGAATGGCCCTTTCATAGGGGTCGCCTAAGGCCATCAGAAAATAGTTATTTACATTATGATTCATAAGAATAACAGAATTACAGTTATGAAATAGCAACAAAAATCATTTTATGGTTGGGGGTCACCACAACATGAACAACTGTAGTAAAGAGTCAAGTACTGTGAAGGTTGAGAAGCACTGATTAAGGCACTTAGATTGCTGTCACTGTTTAAGTGAAGGACCATATAGCTTAGCGATCTGACAAGGATGTAAGACGCTATCCACCCCGACTAGCCTTCTTGCCTGGTTAGACACTTCCTGGTATGTGACTACGGCTTGCTTCTTTCTCTCTAAGAACCAAGTAAGTTTGTATCCAGAATTGACAGCAAAAACTACAAACCAGAATTGGCTAATTTTCAACAGGGTGTTAAAAAAATGCTGTTGATTTTTAAACCACTGGGAAAATCCTAGCCCACATTAATGGGTTCAGTGTTAAAAACACTTCCACATTCTTCCAGGCTGTTGCTCTGCTACTGGTCCACAGACAAAGCATACAACATAAAAATGATACAACAGAC